AAAACGTTCAAATCAAAGCTTTTAAAATCTTTGCGGTTTTATGTACACTTGTGTATGTGTCTGTTTGTATAGTGTCTAGATGGTACCAAATTGGCTTAAAAATACATAAGTGCTGATAAGTTAATAAGCCCAAATATTTCTCAACTTCATGTGACTTTAGTAATCTTTGGTAAATAAAACTAGTTATAAAATTGTTATTAAAATAAAATAGGAATTGTCTTCAAAACTATCAGTATTAAATATAATTCTGACATTTCCACCTGGGTCCACTGGGCGGACAGGTTCAGGCTATCTTTGATAGATGTTTTAGGGTCATAGAACTGTTGCTTCTATTTCTGATACTTGTTTGACTTGTCTGTGAGCTGTCTGAGAGTCACTAGGATTCCAGGCTCTAAACCAATGACCGTGGTGAGGACCGGAAACATTTGTGGAGATACCTCTGGCCCAGCTGTGCCCCCTGGCTACGCTGGGAAGGGTCAGACATTATCTTCACAAATCTATCTTTTGTCCTGGGCTCTGCACTTGGTAGATTTTAATAACAATTAAGATTGTTCTAGCCTGGGCAACAACATGAGACTGTGTCTCAAAAAAAAAAAAAAAAAAGGCCGGGCACGGTGGCTCACACCTGTAATCCTAGCACTCTGGGAGGCTGAGGTGGGTGGATCACTCAAGGTCAGGAGTTCGAGACCAGCCTGAGCAAGAGCGAGACCCCCATCTCTACTAAAAAATAGAAAGAAATTGGCCAAACAACTAAAAACAGAAAAAATTAGCCAGGCATGGTGGTGCATGCCTGTAGTCCCAGCTACCCAGGAGGCTGAGGCAGGAGGATCGCCTAACCCCAGGGGTTTGAGGTTGCCGTGAGCTAGGCTGACACCACGGCACTATAGCCCGGGCAACAGAGTGAGACTCTGTCTCAAAAAAAAATAAAATACTCATGCCTGTAATCCTAGCACTCTGGGAGGCCAAGGTGGGCAGACTGTTTGAGCTCAGGAGTTCGAAACCAGCCTGAGCAAGAGCGAGACCCCGTGTCTACTAAAAAGAGAAAGAAATTAATCAGACAACTAAAAATATATAGAAAAAATTAGCCGGGCATGGTGGTGCATGCCTGTAGTCCCAGCTACCCAGGAGGCTGAGGCAGGAGGATCGCCTAAGCCCAGGGGTTTGAGGTTGCCGTGAGCTAGGCTGACACCACGGCACTATAGCCCGGGCAACACAGTGAGACTCTGTCTCAAAAGAAAAATAAATAAATAAATAAAAGACAAGAAAATATTATTTTACTTCCTAGGTTTTTACTGAAAATTAAGGCTATTAGGAGTTCGTATGGTAATTAATAGACGTAATTAAAACTACTAAATATAAGATAAACAATTGTATACACCCTGGTACTTTTACCAAGGCTTTGTTCTATATACAGAATGTGTAAGAAAAGAAAGATGTGTCTGGGGACAAAAAGGTTATAAGAAAAACATAAAATGTGGTTTTTATTAAAGAAAAGATAAATTTCGTCTAGTTTAGAGGTTATTTAAAGATTGTTTTAAAGAAAAAGGATAGATAAAACTGAATGGGCAGAAAGAGAATGGAAAAAATTGTAAGAGGTTATACAAGTTTGATGGAAATCTTACCTTGTGTGGTCAAAGCTGATTGAAATTAGGTGCATCTATTTATTTATAAAGGTTTATTAAAATTACACTTAATATCAATGAGACATTATAAAGGTAAAATTCAGTTTCCTCTTTTGAGTAAAATTTTCATACAGTATTAATAAGAAATAACAAACTTTTTTGTTTACCTTTTCAGTAAACTGCAGTTAAAAAGGAGAGAGGAAGAGACAGCTTCACGCCATCTTTACCAGGTCTTTGTTTGGAAAACTGAGTCTCCTTCCTACCAAAGAGTAAAGGTTTTTGATTTTTGAAATCTTTGGTTAAACAAATGACTATTTTTCTACAGTGACCTGTGATCCTATTTTGATAACAGTGTTGTAAACCTTTTTTATTTTGATATTAGAATTTAAAACCTTGGATATATGACAAACTTCCCAAAATCAAATTTCAAATTCTAAAATTAAGTTTTTGTGACCCAAACTAACTTAGACAGAAAAAATAAGGCCTCTGAAAGGCCAAGAGAGACAGATTAGTCTTCTTCAGTATGTTAAAATTACACAAGAAACATTGTCAAATAAGAAATGGTACTTGAGTGGTACTTGTATGTTATTAATATGTGTTCCAAAATTGTACAAGATTCCTAAAAATCCAACACCTCTTGGCATATGCGGTAAATTGCTTTATTCTGATGCTTTTTTCTAAAAGCTTTTTGCAGACCCTAAAGTGTTGTGTCTTCCAGGAATTTCAGAGAGACCCTGACCAGTAACTGGGACACAGGTTTCCAGAAACTCAGGGGATCGTACCACTGGACGAGGCAAAAACTTCCAGCACAGTAAGAACCACATGGGACTGAACCGATAAAGGAGTGAAATGATTTTTTTTTACTTTTTTTGTCTCAAACATTGCTGATTCTTTTCATGTTTTGCTTTCCAGAGTCAAGAAAACTTTTGTTCTTCTGAGCTATATTTATAACTTACAGCAATTGGGTAAAGTATACTTTTGTGGGCAAAACTGAGACATTTACCTTTCACTCTACCTGATTTCTCCAACATCTGGAAACTATGCGTGAGTACTCTTATCTTACGGCAATACAGTTATCTGCATGCGTCCGATCGATACAATGTATTTTCCTTTCATCGCTAGCACTGGGGGCGTTGGAGGGGTGGTGAAGAAGAATAAAAGTACAATAAAAGAAAAAAAGAACAAAAATAATTAAGTTTTTTTAAAAAGGAAGAGGAAAGAACCCCAATGTTTTCTTATGTGACGGGACACCTTGGCGACACGGGGAACTTGACGAGGCTTTGGCAGGGCGGGTCAGAGGTGACCGCTCTGGGCAACGGAGGGTGACTCCACTGAGCCGCCACCACGTCCATGTGGTTCCCTTACAAGGCTCCTGACCTCACGGTAAGTAAAGAAAGTCACTTCCTGACAGGCCCAGGAACCTCGATTATTTTGAGACCTCGAGAAGGAGGGACTCACCAATTCGTACAGGCATTATGGGCGCAAACACGCAAACTTGTGGCGAATCCTTGGCTTGGCTTCCTGGCCTCGAGAAGCTTTTAAAAGTCTAATCATATTCCTTAAGAGAAAGTTCCAGCAGACCTAACTTAAAAGGAGCCCATCACTAGTCCCACGGCACTCTGGCAAATAACCAGGCAAGTACAGTAAGACTAAAACTTAGTTTGCAAATAAACTGGTCTATGACTTCTCTCTGGCAGAACAGGGGACAGGAGGAAGAAAAACTGTTTCAGAAGGAAACCACGGCACACCTGCTGTTAGATTCCAGGCCTCACCGTTGTTTTTGAGCATTTATCTGCCTACAGTTTGAACTGAACCCTGAATTATTTCCTGGCTGCAAGTCTCTACAGAGACTTGTTTTAATTGTCTTCGCCATGTTTTTAATTGGCTCCCTAATAGGTCTTTTCCTCCCGTTCTGACATACAGATTCCTTTTCATTGTCATCCTTGCATGCATTATACTGCCACTGTGTGCATTGTACCTCTATTAATTTTTCCGATTTACCAATGCTATGTATCTCTCATTGTTTTACTTCTTGCAAGAAAACCAAAATCACAGTATTCCAAAGACCAGACGTGATTCAACAAAGCCTTGGAGGGAGCCTCCTTCACTGGGAATCCGCTGGGCCTGACCTGTTTTCCACTGCCAACGCCCTGCTGCTGAAGCTACAGGACATCCGCACCCTCCCTCCAGGCCCAGGAACGATACTGCGAAAGAGGTAAGTGCGTGAGACCGTAAGGGCCAGTCTGGAGGGGGGAGTGCAGGAAAACAGCCTATGGCAGGCGAGAGTGACGCCATCTGAAAGGGAAGCCACCAGTGACCGATGCCCGACTCCTGCATCCCCAGGTGCTCTGCAGCAAGGTCTTTAAACAAGGCCCTAGCACAGACAGCCCCTCACAAAGATATTTCTCTCACCTCCCCCGGGTCAGGAGTTTCACAACAAAGCTCAACCCATGGCCGTTGTGCACGTTTTACCGAAACAGCTCGCTACAGAAAGGATATTTTCTGGAGGACGGGTGCGGGGATCCACCGTCTCTCAGCCGCCCGAGACACCACTTCTGTTCGTAAGTCCCTACGAAATGTTTCTTTCTGAGAAACTGGATTTGTCAGCCTCTTTCTTCAGCCTCTCAGTTGCCTCGGCCTTTGGGGGTAGGTTTGCACAGACCTGCTCACCACAGAACAATTTCAAGTGAACGAGAGCTGAGAGAATCCGCCCCCAGCAGACTGGCCCTATGAGAACCGCTAAGGCCGTCCCTCGAGCCAGAGGGTGATGGGGGGTGGGAACGTGGCTCTACGGGAAGGAATGAAGGGCACCAGAAATGGTAAACGGGCAGATAAACGTAAAACACTATTTTCTTTCTCTCTTCCTATAAAAATTTACCTAAAAAAACAATTGAAAGTGTAAAGCAAAAACAATAGTACACTCAGGTAGGGTTTCTATCTATTAGAGTGAAAGATGTAACAACAAACACCAAAAGAAACTAACAAAATTTGAACAGGAAGAGGTGACGACTCCGGCCGTTCACACTGCGCACTGCCCACTCCGCTATAGGGGCTCATCTCGCGTGCCCGTCCCAGGAGGAACGGCCCCCACTGCGATCATTCCTCTGACGGCCACACTCTCCCCACGTCCTCCTCAGTCGGTCTAAACCTCCTCGTAGTAAACCATGCTGATCAAACACCTTTACAGAAAGACCGTTTAGCTCATGTGACATCCACCAAGTTGGTTTGAATTTAAAGTACGGCATGTGAAACAAACATTCCAAGGAAGGTGAGAGGACGTGTGAGCGGTAGGAGGCTACTTCCCCCGCACGTGTGTGTCCCTGAAGACGACACTCCCCGAAGCCCCTCCCAGGCCTCAGTCCCACCACACTGTTGTACCTCTGAGCCCGGTCCCGGTCCAGGACCATCCACTTTCCTCTTTTTCCTGGGCCCGATGGCGGCCAGCGCCGTGAGGTTGGCATCGCGCTGTCTCATCTGCGCCAGTTCCTGCTGCTGCATCTTATTTTGTAAAGAAACGAGGAGGATCATTTCCTGCACGATTTTCACTTACTACAAAAGTAATACATAGACACCAAATGGTTTTCTAAAATTTTCTAAATTATAATTTCTTTAACATTTTGACTTTTTTTTTAACCGTAAGTATATTCTATAATCAGAAAAATAAGGATCTTTCTAAGCAATAGATGCTCATCTTAAAACGCTCAAAACATGAACAAGGATAGAAACCAATGCCACCCAATGAGAAGTCATCGTTCAATATACAAGTAGGACACAAACTGCACAAGAGAGCACCTTTCACGGAGCACATTATTTAAAACAAATTAAACAGCTACGTAAATGCCCACTGTATGGAACTATCACGGTTTTCTGAACGTCTCTCTCTCTTGCTGGACTTTCTAGACGGCTGTGAACACACTCTCGGGCGTGCAGTGGAGACCCATGACTCAAAAGAGCTTTACCTCTTTTGCCTTCTGTTTCAACCGTAACTGTTCTGGGTCTTCTTGTCGGGATCGAGACTATTTTTGAAAGAGGCAAAAAAGAAGTTATGACCTAAATGTTTGTCATCTAACAAGCGTTACTGCATTCATTATACATCATCATCTAGGTCGTGTGAAAGAATGCATATTAAATTTTTTAAATGCTTATAGCCAAAAGATGAAAATTTAGATTGCGAATCATGGAAAAAAAGCCACCATTCTTAAGCAAATCAATGCCATCTGGACACAACAGGAAACAAGATACGCAGGCGACGGCATGCCAGAGGCCTGGGAGGGCTGCAGGCTCGGGTCCTGCCGCAAGGATGGTAAGGGGAGGCCCCCCCACTTCACAGCAACCCTCTCCATGGATTATGGTCTCCTGCCCGACTCTCAACAACCTGGCTCTGAATGTTCTAGAACACACGGCAACGTAAGCGTAAAGAGTCATGGGCTGGCTCACGGGGCTCCCTGCACACGCACCTCACGCCTAAACTGAGGCGCTAGGAATCCTAAGCAGGTCCCCTGCTCAGGTGTCTGTGCTCGTGCAGGTGGAGGCGCCGAAGGAGCGAGGCTGCTCTGCAGCTCCCTGGCAACCCGCACGCACCCCCAGGCCAGCCGGGGGCACTGCTCGGCCTCCCCAACCCTGAGCGCCCAGGGAGTCTGTCCAGGAGGAACAGGAGGCGCCGAGAGCGAGAGCACCAGGCCGTCAACGCGAGCACTTGCCTTTGCTGCCCGCATCAGGATCTCCCTCTCCTGCTCGTCCTTCCTCTGTTTCTCGATCTGATCGAGCTGTTCGAAGAATTTGAGCTGAGCCCGGACATCACTCGCCTGCTCGTATCTGTCATCGTCCTACAAAAAAAGCAAAAACACCATTCCTCACCAACGTGGGGACCCAGCGAGCAAGGGTTTCTGTGCACGGCTCCCTCCCTCCCCAGGCCAAGCCCCACACCGGCAAGCAAACCCGCCCTGCCATTTCCCCAGACGGGCGCGCTGCACCCTGGGAGCGCCGTCTGTCCATACATGCAGAGAAGAGTCTCAGCTGGTGATCTTGGGGGCTCATGGTAGTTTCAATTTTATACACCTTGACATTGTCTGATTTTTAAAGTAATACGTAAATTTTTTTTTTTTTTTTTGCAGCAACATAGACTATTCCTAAAGCACACGGCTAGGTGTGCTTACTTCGAATGCTACTTTGACGGTGGCACCAACCCCTGGTCAGGGGCGCAGCACCTGCCGCACTCGGTCTGGCCCACTCCTGACTGCTCCGAGGTGAGACAGACGAGGTAGGTGTGTTTCATTCTGAAACCTGCTTCGTGAGGACGGGGCTGCGGCCCCCGTGGGAGGTACAGGTTCAGCTCCCGGCCCCAGGGAGGAGGCCAGCACTCACAGGTGCTGGGAATCCCGGAGCCGAGTAAGAGTGGAAAACTTCATGGTTTTCAAAGCTGAAAAGGTTCACCTTCCAAAAAGAAAATCCCTCTGGAGCATCCTCTTGCAGGGACCCCACCCAAGCGCAGAAAAGCGCAGCTGACTGCCTTCCCTAACCCAAGTCCACAGAGCACGTGAGAAGACCACATGGCTAAAAGAAATGAAATCTTCCCAAAATCTAGTCCTGTGAAAAATTCAAAACAAGTTCACAAAGGACATGAGGGCTCTTGGGACACCTGTGCCCTGTGCCCGGGAGTGGGGAGGAGGCTTCCAGACAGCACCGGCTTGGAAACCGACAGCAGAAAGACGCTCTCCTCGGAAAGCTGCCCCGTTACCTTGTAAGAGAAGTTCTTTTGCTGAGCTGTTTCTGATATTTTTTCCACAAGATTCTGTAGCCTTTGTTGCGTGGCGTGTGATACGTAACTTACTACGTCTGGGTGTAATTCCGTTATGCCGTGTTTTTTACCTAAAGGTTGGGCAACAGAAAGAGTATTTTAGAATCATTTAAACACTTTCTCTTTCCTCACTACTGTTTCTTCTTCTATCCACCAATACAGCTGTACGTGGTTCAGCATCAGCCCGGGCAGCGTGGAGACGGCATCTACCCACACGTCAGCTACTGAGAACCACCACCAGCAACCACGTGGAAACGGAGGCAGAACACAGGACGAGGTGCCAGCTGTGCTTACGTGACGCCCCTAGGCTCCAACAGAGACGCCGGCAGACGGTGAAACTCACGGTGCTCACCAAGCCCTTCTGTGGACGCTAAATCCCTATGACAAGTCCCTAAATACGAGCTCACCTATTTCTAATATTCTTCTCTGTAACGGCGCTGGGAGGAGGAAGGTCTCGTCTTTGCAGGACCGTGTCAACGTGCCCACCAACTCAGAGTTCGTGGCCAATATTCGTGCACTTTCTTCTGACAGGTTCACACCAGCCATTGATGCAACATCGTTAATGTCATCATCGTCCCTTGAGAAAGAAGAAAACGTCACTCCAACTGCATAACGGGGTCGTCAGGAGGAGGGCTGGGGTGCCTCTGACTCGGTGGGCAACGAACACGGGGGCAGGAAACCCCCGGGTAGAAATCACAGCTGGCGCCCACGCCAGGCGCTATCCCCCGGCTCCTGCGCCTGCTATGTCCTGCCGTCAGAAAGAGACATCTAACTGCCGTCTTTGAAAGCTCATCTGCTCTGCTAAAGGACAGCGCAGGGCCCAAGCACGCAGATGTGCAGATGCAGCGGCACCGGGACCGGAGGAGGCCAGACCAGCAGCGCCGCCTGCTGCTTCAAGCACCATGCCCCACGTGACACCTTAAATATCTCGACAGCTCTAATTTCTTCTAAAACCACCACGGAGCCTCAGGAAAGCTGGAAAAAAATACAAAGAATTTCTTCCTGAATCATTTGAGAGTGAGCTGCTGACCTGACATCCCCATCTGGACACTTCCATGTGTGCCCCCCCACAGACAAGGGCGTCCCCTACAGAACCAGGGGCGCCACGGAAGCCAGGCCACGAGCAGCAGTCCAAGACTGTCGGCTACTGCTCAGGCCTCCCGGTGGGGTAACTGTCCCCGCAGTGACTCTCCCAGCAGGAGGGTCCATGTGCGCGTCACATGCTGCGTTCAGCTGTTGCGCCTCCTCAGTCTCCTTTGGGCTAGAACACTCCTCAGCCTCTCCTGACTCTCATGCTCTCGACGCCAGGAAGGGCACAGGTCAGCTGTCTGCAGAACGTCCTCTCGGGAGGAGGCGCAGGCCCCACAGCCCTGCCGGGGATCCTGCCGAGTCTCGCGCCCTCCGCAGCTGGCTCCATTACGCGTGTGCGGTCTGAGCGCGAGACTGGGCGACCTGCCCGGCATCCCCCCGCGATCACCCGTGCCTCGCAGGGAGGTACCGTGAAGCGGTCCACACACCCAGTCCTTCTCCGTGTGCTCACCCAGTGACCGACACAGCCATGGGCTTCCCTGACGGTCACAGCCAGAGACCGCCGAGCAGTACGATGCCCACACCTGCCCGGGGAGGGAAGGCGGCCACTGACTTTCGCGCCCTCAGTCTGCGAAGGCTGCTCTGTAACATGGCAAAATGGTCCCGCTCCTCTTGTACTTTCCTTATCCCAGCCCTGGACTGAGCCTTTTCTCTGAGGAGCCCTCGTTATTTCAGTGAAAGATGTTTCTAGAAGATAAGGCCTGAGCCTAGGTGTGCTCACCGCTGTGGGGTATTATTGAGCCCTGGCTCTTTCGCAGGACAGAGCTAGAAATGTACGTCCGTCTGTAGTTAGTTCTGTATCTAACTGCGTACGTGGAAACCTGTGAGTGTGCGTCAGTCTACGTCCTGCTGTGATCCAACACCGCAGGGTTCACTCGAGTTCATGCCTTTCACTGGATGGCTAATTCCTTCCTCGACAGAAACCAGGGCCTCCCGCAGCCTTGACTAACTCACTTTCTCGCATGCAGATGACCTAATCCCCTTCCCAGCCACTCAGGAACTGACCCCACTGCTGGGCTGTCCCCGGCACACCAGCCCCTCACCCTGCTTGGGCTCGGGCCCCCGTTGGTCCCCAACCCTGCCCTGCCGGGTGGGGATGAAGCACCCAGGACAGGGAACCTGCGGACACAGGCACCGCCCGCCCATCCACCACTCACAGCGGCCACAGCCTCCCCGTCACTCAGGCCCCTCAGGCCCCGCGGGCACCACCCCGGACAGGGACGGTCAGACCCGCTGCCGATCAAGAGCCCGAAGCAAAACACAGCATTGCTGGAGGTTCTGACACTGCACAGAGGGCTGAGAGGCAGGTGACGCGTCCTAATCTGCACTGTGATGAACTCGAGACACCATGTTGTGATGTTATAAAGACGAATTTTCTATTAGTTCACATAAAAACACCAGTTGGTTCACTACCTGTAGGAAGCAAACCTCTCTGACCTAACCCCGGGGGAAAACACACTCTGCGCAGCCTTAAGTCCACACAGAGTGTGACGGGACACAGGGTCACAGCTCCTAGCGCCAGGCCGCCTCAGGAAGACCCCAGGCGGGAACGGGGTGCAGGATCCGGGCTCTCCGCCAAGGCCGCGGGCCCGCTCCTTACCGAAACGAACCTCCCCCGGGCTCCTTCAGTTTGCTTTTCTGAGCAGCAGCTGCTTGCGCCGAGACGGCGGAGAGGGCTTTGGTTCCAGGCAGCACCGCAGGTTTCACCACGGGGACTGGGGAGCAAAAGGCACAGGGAGCCGCGTGAGGCCTGGCGCTGTCCTCCCAGCCGGCCACAGGAAGGTTTCAAACACTCAGAGTCTAAGTCTAAACCACAGTTAAAAGCTTTAGCTGCATCTCTCAAGCGTTCATTTTCCTGTATTTCATCAAACCGTCTTAAGTGTAGGAATGACTACGGATAAGGAAACTAACAGTGGTAAATACACGTTTAATTCTAGAAACCCGAGCAACCGTGGTGCTGGTGGCACGGCGCTGTAAACGTGATCAATGCCACCGGGTCACGTACTCCAGACGGTCCATTTCACGTTGTGTGTGTTTTACCACAATTAAAATAAACGAAACCCCAGCGCTGGCCCGCCTGGCGCACCTGGCTGCAGCGGGTTCAGCTGGATCTGTGGGGGCGTGGTGAGCATGATCCGGCTGTGAGGCTGCCGCAGGGCGACCATCGGCGTCTGCGTCAACGTCACCTGCGGGGGCCGGATCAGGGCTCCTGGCTTCGGAGGCTGCTGGATCACCTGAGGCAGAGCCGGCAGAGAGCACAGGTGAGCTCAGTCCCCAAGTGCAAAGCGGCTGCTCCCCAATGGGGGGCTCTTCCCTTCGTTTTCACACCCCCCGCCCTCCAGCAAGGAACTCTGGGAAGACCCCACGTGCTCCTCGGCCCCAGAGAGCCCCAGGACCACGCTCCGTGCGAGACCCCCACAGACGAGGGCAGGTCGGGGGGAGCAATACCAGTGTAGGGGCCCCGCGTGAACTAGCAGGTTGGGCAGATTTGCTACTTGGAAGGGGCACTTGGCCCCTGGTCAGTGCCTGGAGGGCCCGCGGAACAAGCGAAGTCTGCTGCGCTCGGCAGCCCCGTGAGGGACAGACAACTGCCCCGGAAGTTAGCAGAGGTGCAACTGCTGCCTGGTGGCTGCAGGCCAAGTGACTCTGCTCTTCTGTGGTGTCTCTTGGGCTGGATGACTGAGCCCGCAGTGGGCCTGGATGCCCGACGTCCTCCCCTGCCTGGACTTGGCCCCTCCAGGGCCTCCACCACTGCCCCAAACACGGCCTGCTCGCCCTGCGCACCTGGCACTGGCCCCCACACTGCTGCCTGCCCAGCTCTGCTGCTGTCCCGCCTGTCCCGCTACACAGCCCTGGCGGTCTTGACTGTGACCTTGCTCAGAGACACTGGATCCCTGTGGAAGCTACAGAGCTCGAGTCCACCCAGTCTGGCCCCAAACCTTTGAATTCAATTTCTGCCTTTTACAAAGGTATCCCCCGAGGGAACACCTAAGTTATGGGACACTTGCAGGGCCTGGGGTGGTATCCCGTGACGAAATCTTTTTTGCAACAAAACTTCAACGTTCCAGTTCAAGCCAGTGTTGCCACCTAAGGAGGCTGCCACAGGCCCAGGGAAAAGCCCCTGGTTTCCAGATCTTTCCAGGCTTCAGAGTACAGGTGACGGATCAACCCGCCAGCCTGACCACACACCCTGCAGCAGGGAGCAGAATGCAGAAGCCACCCTCCTGCTCAGCGCAGCGTCTGCTCATGGGAACACCCCCAGCGCCACTGGCGCGGCCAAGCACCCGAGGTCAAAACCTTGCAAGGAAAACGACCGCCCATCGAGTTGTGCTTCAACAGAACTCGCCGTGTGGGTACATCGGCCACTGACCGTCCCTTACGCTACGGTGCGGCAAAGGGCCGTGACCTCTCCCCATCCAGTGCCGAGAGGAGCGTGAGCGAGCCCTGTCTCCGCGCGTGGACCTCCGACTCTCCTGCTGCCCACAGCTCCGTGGCCTTCCCAGCGAAGCCTCCCCACAACTGCGTTACCCCTTCTCCCCGCCACTAACCAAAGCAAAACCAAGTGCGGATTTTAGCTGAGCACACACACCAACACCCCTCTTGGTTATCGTCTGTGCTCCACCGCAAGATACTCCGTACAGCCCACTATTGACAACGGGAAGCCTGCGTTGTTTTATTTTCATTTTAAGCTGTCTTTAGAGAAACAAAACCCCTCTGACGTTGAAAAAACTTCCTCTCCACAGCTGGTGAACCCACGACGCCTATGGGAGGGAGCACGTTCAAAACGCAACTCCTCTCTGCAGAGACGTCCTCCCCAGCCGTGGAGCGCGGCACCGCGACCAGCACGGGGAAGGCCGGATCCAGACCGTAAGGACGCGAACCACTTACGAGCAGCCGGTGGCTCTGCCTCCGGGTCCCACCTACCGCTGCACCCTGCCGCGAGCCGTTCCGTCCCGAGAAACCAGCCCCCCCCACCCGCCAGCTCCGGCCTGACCTGACCGTCTGATGCAAAGCACAGGCCCTGCGTCTCACATCTGGGCCGCGGCTCCCAACCCGCAGAACGTCTATCTGCAAACATGCCGCGCTCCTGGGACCAGTGAGACCCCCAACGAGGCGGGTGGGGGACGTGCAGGGGTGCGCATCTCACTTTACTGAGAAACAAAATGCGAAGTCGCAGGGCCTCAGGCTCCAGACTGCGTCTTAACTGTTTGAGGTGACACCCAAGCTTCTTCCTAGCAGCTTTCCCACACACTCCTGCAAAGGTTTCTCTGAGCCGTGGCCGCTTTATCTAAGAGGCTGGCGGGCGCGCTGGCGCGGCAGGCGGGCTGCAGAGGGATGGGCGAGGCTCGCGCCTTCCATACCAGCGGTGTGGGCTGCCCCTGCTTGCCGACGCCCACCTGCGTGGGCTGCGTGAGGCTGAGCACGGGGGGCTGGAGGGCGCTGGTCACGGTGGCCGCCGTCTTCCCGGCCGTGCGCTGGACCGAGCCGCTCAGCACCACGGCCGTGAGCGCGGTAGTAGCCTGCGAGGTGGGCGGCGGTTGCTGCTGGCTCTGCTGGATGAAGGCCGCTGAGTCAGGGGTCAGCTGTCTCAAGGCGGGTAAGCTCCTCTGGGTGGAAGACAGACACCAGGGTCAGGACGGGTGCGCCGGCTTCCTTTCTTAAACACTCAGGAAAGTTCTCCAGCTAACGGGAGATCCAGACCCTCGCGGACACCTCTCCGGATGTCAGGTGCCAACACCCCCACCGCTAATTCCCTCCCACCAAGTGGGATTATTCTCAGTAACAATTGTAATTGTCCAAAATTTGTTTAAAAAACAAAAGAAGCCGAATCTTTAAGGTAGTTTTAAAAACGTGCCAACACCAGCAATCACCTGAGAGAGAGAACCCGACGCCGCCGGAACCCGCGGTCCCGGCCGGCTCCATGAGCGCCGCCCCTCCCCCGTGCCAGGGGCACAGGCAGAACCGCAGCGTCGGGGACCACTTTGCAGAACAGCCACTCTGTCCCCAGACCCTCTACGCTCCACGCCCCCCGGGCAGGCAGCACAGGTGGGCACACACCTGGAGCACCTGCAAGCCCACCCTCCCCTCGCGGTGGGCCCCGCCGCCACCTACAGGCGCCGGGACCTTCCAGTTACCTTCAGGAAAGGCACGAGGTAAGGCTGAGGCGAGGAATTAAGTTCTCGGTATAACCTGCTGGTGAAGTCCTCCGCTTCCATTTTTCCATCCTTAAAAGTAAGATCCACACTGAAGTTCGCAGCGAATGAGTTTCACACACACCCTCCTAGTTCCACGTCACCAGCCTCGTCGCCAGCCGCTCCTGCCTGGTGTCTCCCATGACAGAGAGGGGAACGTCGGCTGCATGCGTGGAAAGACGGGTTCTGGGGACATGCGTGGCAGACGCTCACCGGGGACACTGCTGAGCAGCAAGCTGCTAGCTGTGTCTCCCTCTGGGTGGGTCCCCCCTACTTCGGTCCCCTCCTGAGTTCTTACCCAATGCCCGTTTTCACGTAATGACACCACGCACCTACTCGGTGTCACAGGGCACCAGGGGCCAACACAGAGGGCACCTGGCCCAGCCAGGGAGTCGGCAGCCCCCCACCCCTGCAGGGCACCAAGGAGCTGGGAGTCGCACAGAGGGAAACAAGCACAGAGCAGGGGCACAATCTGCGTCAGAAGCTGAAGGCACTTGGTGTGAAGCGGGGAAGTCACGCACCGAGGGCCGGAAGTAGGTCCTCACGGCCTTTTGCTGCGCAAAGGCACGTGGACTGGACACTGAGAGAGAGGAACACGTGGCCGCTCGGGCAAGGAGAAAGGCACAGAAAACTGGCGACTCCAGACGGCCGGGCGTCCAGCTGAGGGCCAGCAACCCCAGGTTCCCAGAGCAGACAGCCCGGTCCCCACAAGAGGCAGATGCGGGGCCTGGGGCGTGCGGGTTAAGGAGAGGACTCGCCCAGAGGACGGCACGTCATTCACCGAGACGAGGGGGGGAGGGGGTGGCCAGCTCTGCTGCTGGAGCACGGACGTGTTGCAGTGGCCTGCACTGAGGCGAGGGGACAGAGCCAGGCCTCTGGGGGGCTGCGGACACCTGGGAATTTCATGAGAGGCAGAGCCGCTCGCCCTGCCAGCAGCCAAGCCCAACCCTAACTGACGCTGAGGTTGGCAGGTGTGCACAGCAGCACTCGGGGACGCACAAAAGACACATAAGAAAGAGCCAGAAGAGGGCTGCGGGGGACCCTGACAGCACAGCAAGTGGAGGAGAGAGCCACAGGCCAAGCACCGTGGCGTCCCTCAGCGGCAGGACGTGACCACGGCCATGCCAGGCAGCTGGCCCTCCCCCCTGTATCCCCACTGCAACCCCAGCCCCAGGTGAGCGCAAGTGAGTCCAGCCACGGGCTCCCGGCTGGGCGACACACTCCACCAGCAGCAGACAGAACACACAGACTCCGGGAGGTCGGGGGACGTTCTACACCCAAGTGTAGGAAGGAAATCGGAAGAGAAATCAGAAGGAAAGAAGAGGGCCAGGAGGGCTGGGAGCCCTTAGATTAAAAGAGACAGGAAAGTCAACCGCAGTGCGTCAGTCCTGATTGGAGCCAGCAGCTAAGACACGACGCTGTGAGGACGCTGGGGAGACGGGAACAGCGGCAGGGCGGTCACTGCCTATGAAGGGACTCGGGGGTGTCAGGTGTGATCGGGGTGTCGCAGCTGTGTCTGTAAGAAGTGCCTCAGTTTCCAGAGATCCACTGACACAGATGGGGGCGGAGGCGGGTGGCAATGGGTCAGAGGTCACAGGCAGAAACTGCTTCTCAGTCAGAAAATGACAAGACCCAGAGACAGGACGTAGGGGTTCCTCGCACTGTTCTTTCCACTTCTGTGCATTTAAAACCCTCCCTTTAAAAGCAGGTAAAACCACTGGGGGCGGGGCAGGGAGAAGAGAAAGCTAATGCCTTAGAAACATCATCTACCGGGTATATTTACAATCGCTCCTGTGATGCCCACCAGGAAACCTTCCCGCAACGACCAACTGCTATGGACAAGCGCCTTCCATACCCCTCCAGAAAACGGCAGAGCCTCCTCGCCAATGCTCTGAGAGGCATAATTGCGTCAGAAAACAGCGAAGCTCAGGAAACTGCGCGGGCGCCGGCCCCTCACAGCAGGGCTCAGGGTGGGGCCCGGCACAGCCACCTGGCGAAGCCCCAGAACACCCGAACTCAGGGAGGAGGGTCTCCCAGGTGTGCACACCCTTCCCGCGACCCGCGCCCTTCCAGTGTCCTCGCTGCTGACACGGGGCACGGCAGCCAGGCTGTTGGTGACGCACACCGCGCTGGAAGGCAGGGGACCGAGAGTGAAAGCTCTTACCAGTAAGTTCTGTACTAGCTCTTTCACGTTAGCTGCCGTCTCTGTGGACTGTTTACCAGATGAAGCCAGTTTTATTAACGTAGATAGAAAATTTTTGCATTTCTTCACATTTTCCATAGTTTCCTAAAGTAAAAAGATATAAGTGATAAAAATTTAAAACGTGGATTTTCATCACAGCCTTTGGTATAACTAAAACACATATATGTATAAAAGATACATGTTTCTTCTCTAAACTTCCTTCAAGAAAACGCAGGAGCTCGCATGGCCCGTGCAGACGGGGCTGAGCTCTGAGGAGCAGCCCGGCCACCAAGTCAACAGCCAAAAACCTGAGAAAGATGAACCCACGAAGACGTTCGTCCTAATTCTACTTATCATAAAGACAAACTGATGCCTATCTAAACGTACATTAAAAAAAGAATCAAATTATGTGCAGCCATTAAAAGTCATAAAAAATACTTACCAGACAGACGTGAAAAAAGTTATAGATAAAGTATGATATCCCATTTTGTCTAAAGGTTTATATACATAGATTGCAAATGCCGTATAGTCCACATGGCTTTTAGCACGTGAAGCTTCTGCACTCTGACGCCCTTAAGCGAGAAGTCAGGGCCTCTTCCTGCCCCCTCCCAGGCCACCGCCCTCGGAGGCCCCTACACGGGGGAAGTGCAGGCCCCCACGCATTCGCACGGGCCCCACACTGTCCACGGAACCCACCAAGAACCAGACGGGGGTCTGGGAAAGAAGTTGACCCAGGGTGAGATCAGGCTGCACCTTCCAGCCACCGAGCCCCAGCGCCCGGCCATCTCTGAGCTGCCAGGGGGAGAAGCGGCTCTTACCGTGGCAGCTGTGGAGGTGGTGGTCGCCCCTGGGACTGTTCGCTGAGGTGTCCCCGTTTGAACAGCTGTCGCCGTCCCGAGTGAAGCTGTCTGGGCAGCACCACCCAGAACAAGCTGAGGCTACAAGAATCCAAAACACGAGGTAAATGCATCTCACGCCACAGACGGGCTAAGTGGAGACTGGCCTCGGTCCGGCAGAAGAAAGCAAGGCTTCCCAGAGAGGCAGGGAAAGCCCCGGCCACCTGCCGGCCCAGCATCCTGGCCTCCCCCGCCCTGGAGCCAGGCGAGGCGGCCTACAGCACCCCGGGGAACTGAGGGCCGCGGTACTAGGTGCCTGGGAAGCCGTATTTTGCACCTGCATTAAAAACTGACAGAAATAAAGCCAATCGCCGGCAAGATCCTCGTTTTCGGAAGTCAATAGCATGACAAAAGTCACAGTGAAAAGTGACCAGTGTAAATAATCCTAGCCGAACCAGGTCCCCATTGCTCCGAAGTTAAAAATTAGAACAGAAGAACTACTCCCGCAAACGCCCTCCTCTCAGCCCGCAGTGAGGCTCCCAGGACGTCCCTCCGCAGGGGACCACGCCAGGACTGACAGGAGGGCAGGTGCCAGGATCCCCCGGCCTCACTCTCCCAGAGTGAATCTTGACAAGCAGCCTCCTCCGGGCAGGCGAGGCCGGGGTGTCAGTCACCCTGTGGGCAGGGAGGTGCCACTTTGCTAAGCAAACGAACAGCCAGACACAGAACTCAGGCAGTTCAAACCACTGGCCCTTAGTCAAATTCCTAACATTTCTGTTTTACATGAATGATCACAATGCAAATATTTACTGATTTCTTAAATTAGTACTTTTCCAATTTATAAATCCAGCCATCAACATTTCTCTCTCCAGTTTTTAAACAATCCTTTTTTGGGACTTCGGAAAGCCAGGAGCAGCGCAAGCACCGAGCGCGACTCCCAGGCAGCGGCTGCTCCTCCGTCCTGCAGAGCCCCGCGGTGCGCGGGAAGCACTGCCAGCACAGAGGTCTCCGGGGTCCCCGAAGTCACACCCCGCACTGCAAACGCCAGCCCGGGGTGGGGAGGGGCTGCGGACGGACGATGCGCGGTTTCTTTGTAACCCTGGGTTCTTTCACTTGTAGCAGTGAGTCCGTATTATTTGTGCGACTGAAGCTCATCTAATAAAATGCTTCAAATGAAGAAAATGTGGAGCAACCAACCCGGCAGCTGTCTCCGGGCAGTCAGGGACATAGAAGCATCCGGACACTTCTCACCTGTGGGGAGTTTTCCTCCTCATCAAAATGTATTCCTCACATTTACTGACCCTATGGATACGTACTTCACCTCGGTAACGTCAAGACTGCGTCTACTTGTTCTGATAAATTTATCTTCCACTAAGTTGGATGCAAAAACTTGACTACGGGCTTCACTTCCTTCTCAGAAAAACCACTGAGAACTGAAAACCCAGATACACCCGGCAGACGGAGGGCCCAGCTGAGGGCTCCTTCCAGGCGTGCGCAGGGGTCTTCATGCCAGCGCTCGCTTCCTTGGACCGACCCGCCCTCCCACCCGCGTCCACTCACCACAGCGCCAAAGGCCCATTGAGACGTGACCCAGTGGAGTGGAAAGCCCAGAGCTGGGGCTGCCCCTAGAGTCCTCTACCCCCCACTCAGCCTCAGTTTCCCCACGGGACCGTGTGAGGATTCTGGACCAATCAGCAGCACATCTGGGCACGGCGCCTAGCGCGCGGCAGGTGCATCATGATCAGTGCTGCAGCCCCACATTCTAACAGCTGCTGTCGCCTTCCGCCTGACCGCCCAGAGAAAGTGGCTTCCCTAACCAGGTGTGCCCTCCCCGGCCAGGTGTGTCTATTCTCTGGTCAGGTGTGTCCTCCCTGGCCAGGTGTATCTCCCCTACCCAGGCGCACCTGCCCTAGCCAGGTGTGTGTCCTCCCTGGCCGGCCCCTTCCCCTCCATGGACCCCGTGCCTCCTCTGTAACACAGATGGCCGGTCTGGCAGGTGCACAAACCCTTCTCCGCGGCTCTGCGGGCCAGGGCTGAGCTGTCAGGAGCGAGGGCGCTCCCCGAAGAGGCCAGCGCCTGCTCCAGAACACTCTCCCCTTCGCAGCTTAAAACACTATTTGATAAACAACCCCACGGGTTGACACGGAACATTTCTAGAACTATGCTTCTATTATGGGCAAAGGGCGCAGGCCCCAGGGAGGAGGTGCAGGGAGGCGGCCAGCGTGCAGGCTGCCAGACTGGGAGCAAGTTCCAGAACCTCCCTCAGCTCATCTGTAAACGCCTCAGTGAGAAGAGACGAGCGACGGCATCTCCTCACGCGGCCTTACGAGCAGTAAGCAAGTGAAGGCACACAGAGCGGTGAGGAGGACGCCGGGGACGGGCCGTGCTCAAATGGCAGCTGCTGTCGTCACGGTTACCTGAAAGGCCACACGTGCACAGACATAAACTATCCTCACTGCAGCCATCTTCTGCTTCAGAGACGCCTTCATATTAATAAGGTGTTATTTTTATTTTTATTTTAATAATTATACTCTGGCATAGTGGGACGTTTTAAAAAGTGCTGCTGGTATTAAATTCTGTGTGGCTTTAAAGAAAAAGAAACCTTGACCTATCCTGCAATGGTCGTCGGACAAAAAGCATCTTTGTCATGGAGAAAACTCCTCCCAAAACTCAACTTAGTATCCAATACAGAAACTCATGAGGCCTGCTCTTTCCATTAAAGAAAACCGCACCGTGCCGGGCCAGCACATCCACGCAGCTGCCGTGTCCCTCACCTGGACCCCGGAGGAGCGCTGCAGTGTGGTGGGGGGGGGCACCGTCGTCTGTGCCTGAGACACTTGCTTGATTATGGTAGTTGGGGTCACCTGCCGTGCGATGATGGGTGTCCCAGGTGCCTGAAAGATAAGTAACAGTCATCAAAAACAGGCTACATGTAAAAGGAATTCCCCACCCACCGCACACAAAAATCAACCCTTAAACATGTGACTAACTGGTGTACTCAAGTAGGTCCACACACTTATTCACAATTTTCCATGAAGTCACCCTAATTCTGAAGTTTTCTTAAGTATATGAAATCTCTTCATATACTATAATAGGAACATTAGACTTCTTTAACAAAGTCTACAAAATGCTGGGCGCGGTGGCTCGTGCCTGTAAACCCAGCACTCTGGGAGGCCGAGTCGGGAGGATTGCTTGAGCTCAGGAGTTTGAGACCAGCCTGAGCAAGAGTGAGACCCCATCTCTATTAAAAACAGAAAAATTAGCCAGGTGTGGTGGCGCACACCTACAGTCCCAGCTACTCGGGAGGCTGAGACAGGAGGATCACTTGAGCCTAGGAGTTGGAGGCTGCAGTGAGCTGTAATGATGTCACCACTCTAGCCAGAGCAAGGAGCAAGACTCTGTCTCAAAAAAACAAAGTCTACAAAAGATGACCCTGAAAGAACATAGATGTCTGGAAACAGGTCCTTGCACTGCCGCTCGTGATCTCGTTAATAAGCACTGAAAAGTGGGGAAGGTGCACGGACAGCCCCGCCCCAGGCTGGAGGGCTGGCCACACACAGCGCCGCAGCACCGGGGCAAGGAAGCAAGGCTGCCAGGTGGACGGAGAGTCGCCCCGAGCACGCTGACGTGAAGCTGGTCTAAGCGGAGGCTGACGGCGAGGGCGGCAGGAGCTGAAGCCCCCGGGCCTCCTGCCTTCCGGCCCAGCAGACAGACACCGCAGGCCGTGAGGACACTGCTCCGTGCTTCTCCGGAGGGGAGGGGCTCTGCCGCCACCAGCTTGTCCTCGCCAGTCTTGGGACAGAGGCATGAGCTCCAGAGGGGGCAGGCTCAAGTCCCAGGAGGAAAAAGCTGTCAAGATCACTCTTGCCTGCGCTGTGGTCACTAACCTGCCACCCAGCTCCTTACAGTGAGACCACAGCACAGACAAGCACAGCAGGAGACAGCGTGGGGACAGGCCTCAAGCCAGCACGCGCCAGGTAGAAGTCACAGCACCGGACAAGGATACCGCATGCTGGGGAGGGGTCCTGGCACTTTGCTTTAAGCAGCAGAGTCACCCTCCCTACCAGAGCTCGGACTCAGGACTGGTGACCCCCGAGCCTGAATTCTGGAGGAGGGGTGGTCCTATTTAATTTGAGACGTTCTCAGGCCTCCCTGACAGCGGCAGCTGGCGCCTACTCAGGGTCACTCTGTGCCACTCCTCTCAGCACTTTCTAGGTCTTGACAGTCCTTAGGACAGTCCTGGGAGCTGAGCACCAGCACAATCTCCATTTTGCAGATGAAGAAACTGAGGCACAGTAAGGTAAGGCCACAGGGAAAGAAGGGAGGGGACCAGGCTCGAGCTGGGGCAGCCAACCCTGGGGCATTCGCTCTAGCCCTACGCGGCCGCCGGTCCTGCTGCGCACCGGCCATGGGCGCTGGCTCCTCCAAGCACCCTGCCACCAAGAGGAGGACGGGTGACCAGGGCCACCCCCAGGCCCATCCCCGGATCGGATGCTGCCCACACCCCTAGGTCCTCACTCACATGGACGCGCCTGGCCCTTGCAGACCTCCCCAGCCTGCGAGGTAGAGCGGGAGGTGGCTGGCCACTCGCCGGCGCGTGCGTGCACTCACCTGTACGGTGGAGATCTGGACTGGGGGGGCACTTGTGGGGGTTGCAGGGCGGGGCGCCATGGTGGTCTGAGGCTGGGCCTGGGCGTGGGCCTGAGCTTGCATCTGGGCCAGGGCTTGCTGGGGGATCATCAGCAACTGCCCGTTCTCGCTCCGCACGAGGACCATTCCTGGGGACAGAGGGGACCTGGGATCATGAAACACACTCCGCCCAGGGTGCTGGCGAAGGCCCTACCCCGGCTGTGAGAAGGAAACACGAGAAGCGGGAAAACACACAAATTCACCCAACTTGAAGCACATTTGCCTACGAAGATGGTGGACAGGATGAAAAACTGTACAAGGCTGTCGGAAGACCCTGGGGATTCGAAAAGCATGTGAGCCTTCCTTGTATAAACGAGCCAAGCAGCAGGGCAGCGTGACAACTATTGCCACTGCCACGCTGCACATCCCACACACACCCACACCGGCCGGCACACCCCACTTCACAGACACGGAAGCCTCTCTGCCCCACTTCCCACGGGCCACACCGGCTGGGCTGTGGCCAGGAGGACACAACCATCTCTCAAACCTGTGTCCTGCAACGTCCAAACCAAACAGAAGCCAGTGTGGTAGGACACCCCTCTGTGCGTGTGGCAGTGCGGTCCCCACGTCGACCTGGGACATCCGCACACACGCGCCTGCCTCTGCCACAGGAGGAGCCACTCGCCCTTCGTGGTTCTTCAGCTAAATCACAGGAAAGCAAATCCTGCCGGCCAGGTGTGGCACTCAGTTTAGCTTCAAAAAACAGCATCCAATTGCACCATAAATCCCACTAGAAACAGTAACGCAACTGTCCGACTTTTAAGTTTAATTTCCCAGGACAGAGGTGGTGGAGGCGGACTGTGAACACATGCCCTCTCTCAGGTGAGGCCCCGGCAGGTGCAACGGCTGACATGACCCAGCCAAAAAACGAAACAGACACACAATGAGGCGCCGCCAGCCGGCCAGATCCCCCAAGTCACAGCTGGCCACACCATGGAGCTGCCCTCCCCCCCTCCCCCCCTGCAGCATTCTGCAGCCACCCCTTCCTTCCCTTTAGGGCGATTTAAAATGATACTCTCGCAAGAGAAAAGGCAAGGCCTGAAAACTCCCCGAGTCATCCCGACGCGCAAACACTGGGCTTTTTCTTCTGGGCCTGCGTCGCAACCTCAGAGGTTCCAGGAGAATCTTCGGAGCTGTCGGGCTCTCGACTCTTTCGAAATCCATCACGGTATCTAGAAATAACGGGGAAGCTTCTCCCTGGGCTCATGTCTAAAATTCTTGGTCCAAATAAGCCACATTTATGTTAAGAAAACTTCCCTCCAAAACATCCCTTTCAAGCTAAACCGTGCTGAAATCAAACAAAGAAAACCAAAAACCCAGCTGCTTCAAATGCTCTGCTGAAATGTCCCGAAACCTGGGAGCTGGCGAATGAGTTGACAACAGAAAGGCCTCCAGGGCTCGATCGCTGAAATCAAGTCTGTTGAATACCACGTCTGCAGTCTGCACACGCAGGATGCTCAGAAAAGGAGTTTTGGGCAAGGCGGGTGCTGGGGTCAGTCACGTGGCACCAGAGTTGGGTGTGAGCCACCGAGAGAGGGAGACTGTCCACCCCGCGTGGGCTGGGGACCCCAACAGAGGATCGACACCCCTTGACACCAGCTTCTCAAACCCCACCGTTCGTGCGCTGCCCTCTTGCGTCTGCTCAGAGACCGCCCCTCCTTCCTCCCAAGAGTTCTAGGCAGCCGGTGATCGGCGTGCGCTTAGGAGCACACGGCGCGCAAACGGCAAGGTGGCAACACAAATGAAGCACCACCGGTACCTCAAAACGCGTTCATCTAGCAGTTAGGACAGCAATTTTAATTATCGTGAGCTTTTTTGCTTAAAAAATTACATTCATAAAAATTTAAAGGAGTATGTAAAAAATAAGTATCAATGAAACATCGATGTGATTCAAATCCTAACAAAGTAAAAGTGGTATTTCCGACGTCACGGAAGCATAAGGAAACAAGACGCCGTTCACTGCGAAACGTGCCCGTGGTCAGGGCCCGCGCGCCCATGCTGAGGGTCAGCGCACCGTGCTCAGGGTCCGTGCTCCTGTGGTCAGGGTCAGCGCGCCCGTGTCAGGCCAAAAGCCGGGTAGGTAATCAAAAGCCCGGCCAGGAAGTGACCGTGTGACTTTAAGCAGGTAACTTAAGCACTCTCAGGCACTAAGAATATCTCCGACTTGGTGTATAAACGAGTAAGCGAGGCAAACAGCAGAAGGGCTGGAAACAAAGGCAACACTCGCACTGAACGGCCACCACCGACGCTGCAAACCAACCTGTCGTCTCCCTGCTCGCAAGGCATTACAGTCACCGACCCTGACAAAAAGAAGTCAGACGCCCATGTGATCACCTGAGGACACCGCCAGCTGCATCACCCTGTCCCAGTGACACCATCACCACACCGGATCTCGTGAACCGACTGGTCGTCATCACTCATTTCAGGCAGGTAAAAACTGTGCTGGATTTACCCGTGCAAAGGCAAAAAACCCACAACCTTGTTTCAAAATGTAACTTAAACTAACTTAAGATAAAAGGTCGTGAAAGGTAATCTACCTTGTCTAAAGGCAGGTGTGACCTAGAAAAGTCAAAGTGTCTAACCCTCCGCCTTAGTGGGCCGCCTCTGCATCCTGCAGGGGCTTGTGACCAGCAGGTGCAGCCCACGCCCCACTTCACACCTGGGGACCCAGGCCGGCAGGCAGCAAGTGGAGGGGTCTGTCCAGGAGCTCCCCAAAGAGAATGGACCCAGGGGGTGGGCATCAGCCTAACCCCCAGCCCAGGACATGCCATCACATACGCTCACGGGAACCAACAGTGATGGAGACAGGTAGCCCGTAGAGCCATGGGCTCCACTCACCTAGCCCTTAAGTCACGCTGGAGAAGGTCAAACTTGAAACAGCAAACACACTTGCCATTTAAAAGACACATCAGACCCCGTGTCCAGCCAAGATGGGTGGCTGCAAGCCATGCAGGGAAGGGCTGGGGCGTGGGCCAGGAGGCGGCAACAGCTAGGGCCAGGGAGCTGGACCAGGGACCCACCCCCTGACCAAGGCTCTCCCTACCTCCCAGCTTCCCCTTGACCCCTAACCCCCAACCTTTCACCTTCCTGGAGATCTCTCCCACGGTCAGCCTGGCCGAAAACCAAAACCAGCCACTGTGCACAAGCAATAGTCACGATGCACCCACACCCAGCAGCCAGAAAACAAACGAGGTTTTCTTCCCCAGTAATTGCAACGTCTTTCCTGGTATAGAACTAAGTATTTTTATAGAAAATCTGAGAAACATGGAGCAGTACAAGGAAAACAGAAGCCTCACGAGAGCCCCTCCCTGGGTGAATGGGCTGTGTGTTTCCCGCCAATCCGTGTTCTGTGCGCACCTATGCAACCGCGTGTGTGACAGAGCAGACGGCTGCGACCCTCTGCTGCCACTCAGTTCTGTATTTCTTTCTTCTTCCTACGTGCACTTTCCACGCCATTAAACATTCTTCAAAAACATAATTTTCAGGAGCTACATAATGTTTCACCCAAAATGTGGTTATTTCTTTTTTGGTGAAGATTTCATTTGTTTCCTATTTTTCATTATTGTGAAAACATAGATTTTAAAATTAAAATAAAAAATGTTAAACACTCTGCCACACTGTTTGGAGGTGGCAACGTGGATGACACGCAGCTGGCAGAGGCCTTCCCGAGGGACAGGACCACCGCGTCCCCCTAGGGCTGGGTCGCCAGCACGCCCAGGAGCCCTCCAAGCCCATGAGCTCTCGGGGGACCCACGTCCCCCCGCTCAGAGCCAAGCCAAGCACCAGTTCCCAAAGCGTGAATGAATCCTGCCCTCTTTAAGCGCAGAGCTCAGGATAAACCCCAGCGTTCTTACTCAACATTAGCTTTCCTTATCCCTTTCCTTACCAACGCTTTTTACTGTATTTTAAGCCAAAATGTAGAGCATCTGAAGCTGCACTACAAACCCGACAGGAATTTCCGTCCTGGGAATCACCACTTCAGGGAAAATGCTTTCACCGAGTGTCCGGGTGTCACCCAAGCACCCTCGGGCACAACCTGACGTGAGGCTTGGGGCTGTGGGCTCCCCCTACCCTCCAACGCCCCGGCCCTGGCTACCTACCTGCCTATGCCCTTTGCAGAGGCCCCCGCACTGGGAGGACAGCACACGAGGGGGAGAAGGACCCTCGCGCTGTGCTGTCAGTAAGCAGCAGAATGGCAGCCCTGTGCAGAGGTCTCGACCTCCGCAAGGGTCCCTGATGACGACAGGCCCCTCAGACTGCACTGAGAGTCGTGAAGACAGGGACGAAGGCAAGACCCTTACAACTAAACGTGTGCAAAATGAACCTATCTCCCGAAGCCCCACATCTGATACCAAAGCAGCCGGGACCAAGACAGGAGGAGGCCATGCCAGGCCTCCCGTCTGAAACGCACCCGGAGGACTTCACTGCCAAGCACCCACGTCACACAGCCTTCCCCAGCTACACCAAAGCGCACGGGGCTTCTCAGAGGACCATGCCCCGCGGGGCTCCGGGCAGCCAGCAGCAGACAGCCCTGCTGGGCCCGGGCTGTGGCCGCACCACAGGTGCAGGAGCCCACGCAAGTAGCCACGGGCCAGGGCTCAACCGGCGGCCCTTCCCCACCACACCACCACCCTGACCCCCGCCCGGGCCGAGGGGCAGCAGAATCCCGCAGGCTCCGGCTGACTTACTACGGCCTAAGCGTGCCGCGGGTTCCCAGGGCTCTTTGTGAACGGACATTCTGCCTTTTAAATTACCAGGGGGGCGGGTGGGTGTTAAACGCGGATCTGTAAATGTAGGGGAGCAGAGGGGCCGTCCACCTCATGGGGCTCCCTCACGTGACCCCACCTCACACCTCGGAGGGACAGACGCACCAGCCAGACCAGGCTCCTTGGCTGCCGCGAGCCTGACTCGCGGAAAGACACGGCTGTGCCACCTGTGTGTGCGCTGAGCGCAGCCGCTCGGGCCCTCAGTCCGGGCTCTGCTCCTTCAGGGACAGCGGAGTCAGCGTCACGAGCTTCACGCATCCGGGGAACACTGCTGCCCGCCCTGCTCCGCTCCGTGAGGCTGCACGGTCCTGCCTGTTTCCCAG